ACAGAAATGCAATCATCTCTGATAGGTTTTGTTAACCTGATAAAAGCTGTTGATGCTGACCTAATCTGAATTGTAGATTTGAAAAGTGAAGCAAGAAGCACAGCAGTAGGATCACATCATTTTGTAGTCACAGGAGAACCAGTGGTGGTAGCCGCAGAATTTCTGCAGGTGAGAGCAGACATTTCAGGACCTGAAGGGCTTCCTTTGCTTTCAGCTGTCAGAGCATGGAGAGGAGCCCAGTGTCAGGCAGAATTGGCTGTTGCTGCAGTTTGAAGATGGCTGACCAGTTCTACTGCAGGTGGCTTGTCAACTGCAAGCTGGGATAGTGGAGCTTTGCAAGTCATGATGAGATACCTCTGTCAACAGACTGTGGATTAATGTAGGCCATCCCTTGCCCTCGTGCTGTTTGAGAAGTCTGTTCTCTAAAAGTCAGATATTATTTCAGGAACATCCAGCAATGTGCCCTCCTAAAACAGCCAGCAAATCTGTTAACCAGAAGGACAGTGCCAAGGTGCTGGCAGGGGATTAACAATTCAGCAAGGACAGAAATTAGCTAAACAACAGAAATAATTTGATAGTAATTCAGATACAGAAGTGATCCAACCAGGAATGAAAAACACAAGAAAAGCAATTCACAAAAAACAAAACCCCAAACAAATTAACAGTGAAAGCACCAAACTTCAAATAAGCCAGAAATAAACAACAGAAAAATCCAATTCAGTACCAAAGGGGCAGTTCATAGCAAGTAATATGTAAATTGCAATTTTAAAAAGAAACATCTGTGGGGAGTTTACATATGCAAGAAAATTAGCACTAGGGTATACAGTGCCTTAAGTGCAGCAAAACCAAACAAACAACAATTTGAAATGCAGCTTTCAGAAAGTTAGTTGTTCATGCTGAGAGTGCTGCAGGACAGGGGTTTCAGATGCAGTTAAAAGCCATAAGTAACATCGGTGATAGGTCTTTTCCAAAACCTCCACTGGTTTTACTCTTAATTTTTCCTAGCCTCTGCTGGCTGATGTTGTGTGGCCTGCAATAGGAGACAGGTGGGAACAGGATGGTTTCTTCCATCCATCTGCCCTCCTGTGACAAATCTCCACAGGACAGTTCAATGCTCCAGGCAAGGGATTCTGGCACAGTGAGGATTGTCAGACAACGGTCTACTAGAGACAAGGGGTGAGGCGTATGTCCAAAAAGGCCTGCTTCTGCTGAGGGACAAGGATCAGGTTGGCCATGGCTTCCAACAGCTCCCAGCAGCTGGAGAGAAATTTCTCATCAGGACAGTGGTAGTTTGGAGGAAGAGGACTTAAGTCTTGGAGAATCTCTGTGCAAAGCCCACGATCCCCATCTCTTTAAGGTGGAGGAGGGATATGGTGTGTGTCTTAACGGTGTTTGAGATGCCTGGTGACTGCACAGTACATGTATGACCTGAGGATCTGGTGGGTTGCCCTGATGATCCCATACAGTTTGTCCTGCTATAAATTGACTTACCAGGTTGAGTTTGTGATGCATTAAAGTTTTGCCTCTCAGGAGTTCACCACAAACACTGATAATTTTGTTTAATTGGAAAGCACCTTCTAATCATCTTCGCTTGTCACATCATCCCCAGTACAAAGCTGCTGCAGTACAAGTTTTGGCGCAAAACTCACATGGACTTTGCTGAGGGGAGAAAAAACGAACCGTTACCCTGTAATGATTGCCCTGAATTGTTCTCAGTAAGGGACCTCCTGGCAGAAGTCACTAACTCCCTCCCTGTAGGAAACTTTGCGTTAACTAGATGCTAGCTACTTACAGTCCAGATGCTTTTTGCCTTGAAGTGGCAAAGCAATCGTATAAAACTGTTGTCTAATGGCAGGGTGTAGCAAGGGCTTCATAGCACAAGGTCATTGCTGAGAATTCCGGGCTTAGGTATGGTTTTTGGCCCTGGTGGATTTGTACAATCATTTAATGTATTCTAGCTTTAAAGCTTGATCTGCCTAATCCAAAGTCCTGTTAAACTCTGCAAAATTGCCATAGGTATACGCATATTCCACACGATTCACCATGAAGTCACATGCAGCAGTGCTCCTCAAGCTATTCAGCAGAGTACTTGCAGCTTATGTTTGCTGCTGAGGTTTGTAAGAGCCAGCACTGACTTGGTTGAGATCTGAAGATGACAATGGGCTAAACAGTGAACAGGCGTTATCTATCTCAGCGTTGATCCTGTGCAGTAGAAAGGAGGGCAATGTAAATGATGTGGAGGATCGGTTACAGATCTGTTGCAGGCAGTGTTGCTGTGAGCATGCCCATCCTGACAAGAACACACAAGGGAGAATAAAAGTCAGGGTTAGCAGTCACAAATTCACAAAGGCTTCTTTGTTTGAGACTAGCCGTTTAGCCTAGGGTAGCAGGTCAGGGTATGAGGGTGATTTGATATAAGATGTGCTTGAAATATTAAATCATAGCTTCATACAAAATCAGGAATGTTGGAATAGAGGTGCTTCTCTATTTGTAGAATTTTTTGTTTAACAAAGCAATCACTAGCAAAGACTTGCTAAGAGAAAGTAGAAATGTGTTATACCTTGGCTGAACGCTTGTGTCTTGACAAATAACAATAGCTCATTTGTGGACCAGGTTCGGGGTAGCTGTTGCATGGAGGATGATTACATTCATCCCTTTGGAGGGCAAGTGCTGTGTGACCCACAAGGCAGGTTTCTCCCTGCACTTTCTCATCAGGAAGTAGCTCTGGTTTGATGCGCTGGCTCTAAGCAGGTCGTGGTGTCGGAAGTTGGTGGGTCACGTGCTGACCTGAACGTCTTCTGATTGATAGCCACCATTCCTGCTTTTCCCATGAGGGTTTCCCACTGGGGGACTTTCACTGGCTGTGGGTGGGAAAAAAATGTGCGGTGAGTTTTTGAGGGTTAGAAGAACAGGTTGGCATTTCTTGGGTTGTTCTTTTTTTTCCATTTTTCTCCTCTCTGCATCCTAGAGTTGTGAAATAAATGCATATCAGGTCTGCAAACAAGTAAACTTTCATGAGTTTTTTTTCATGTTTGTTACTTCCATGAGAAGTGACCATATGCTGTTGGGGAAAAAGTTGTTGAGGATGCACGGTGCTTAAAAAGACTTGAACAAACATTTAACACTACAGTTTTAATGCTAATAAAATAACAACTTTGCTAAACATTTATGACTCACTACCTAATTTTATATCAACCAAAGTTCTGAAGAGTCTGGTCCACTAAACAGCTAATTCATACACTGAATTATTGAAGAGAAGAACTTAGATTGGATGCTGAGATAGCAATTTCTTGAAACAAAAGTTTAATTTGATACTGTTACACTTTTAAATAAAGCTATCTGTTCTTGATACAGTTCATAAGTAATCCAGGTCTTGAGGCTAAAGATGAAGTGATCTGTACACTACCACAATTTTTTCTTATTGTACAAATTAACAAACAAAAGTTTCCAGTATTCAGAGTATAATTTAATGTATTTTCTTTCCATTCTTTCTTGATGATGGATTCACTGTGTTCTTTTTAGTTAGCTTTATCAGCTTCCTAACTGGAGCTTATTAAATGTTACTTCAATATAATGAGCTATATTTATTTCACAGGATGTTCGTGCTGGCAGCTGCCTGCATACGTTCAATTCAGTGCTCTTGTGAGCATTACACCGAGACTTCCATAAAAGCTCGTGTTACTTGAACACAGGAAAAGGGATCCCTCAAATGAAACTTGATTTGGTCAATCTGTGAACTGTGAAGGACCACACATGACGGTGTGGTGGTACTTCTGATGCTAGCATTCCCTTAATTACAGGGTACCCATTCTTCTTTCATGAAAATGCCAAAAGCTTGCTTACCCCCTTTTTTTCCACTTGGCTGCCCTGTGTATAGTCTTTGTAACACTAAACCTATATTTACGTAGAAATCTGTGCATTTAAGAGAATGTGGACACAGTTACAGCCATATGAAGAGACTCAACATGAAGCTTTTAAAATATTTACGGATGTAATTTCTGTTTCTTGCTTAGACCAGCCCTTTTCTTTTGGTATGCACTAAATGTCAGCATGCCTCATTTCTGCAATGCAAGTTTGTGATTCAGCCCTATTTTTTGAAGTTTCTGAATTCTTACCCAAGTAACTTGGTTTGATTTTAAGGTGTATTTATTGGTTTGGTCAGTTCTTCCTGCCCACATAAAATTAATGTTCACTCTGTCCCCTGTAACTGCTCTTTCTCTCTTCTCAGTATTGTAAAGCATACCGAATCATTACATCATTTCCAGATTTTGCTTTTCCTGTCGGGGTGAGACTGCCTACAGGAAGAATATTTCTGAGTTTTCCGAGTTTTAAAAAAATGCTACATTGAACGTATGAGATGAGCTGAATCTGTAATTGCTGGAGCTATTGTTATTGTTTCTTTGAATTTATATAAACACTTACAGAAAGTTTGTTAAGATCCAGGTGCGTTCCCAGCAGCAGAGGTATTCTCACGTGCCTTATTTCCCTGAAAAGTGAATGCTCGAATGGTGTTATGACTTGACTTTTGTTTGGAGAAAGGGGGGTATTGTTTGGGGGGTTTTATGTCTTGCATACCAAAGTGCATTTGCTGTTGACAGTCAGAACAGGCCTTCCTACCCACTAGCTCTGCAAAGTGAATTTGGAATCTTCATTTTATGCATTATTAACAGCAATATTCATATAATTGGGGATGAGGAAATGCTACAGTAATTGCAAACGGAAACCTTTTCTTACGACTGTAGTAGTTCTACAGTGGAAGAAGTAAAATAAATGTACGTAGCAAGTCATTTTGAGTACAATAGTTTGCTGTGATCAATAGTGAGTTTATTATGAAAAATGGCATTCTTTGTTTCGAGTGGAATTTTTTTATATTTTATATTGAAAGCAAAGGATGTAATGTATTGCATCAGTGCAATGTATTACCTCATTTGCAGCAGTGTTCTAAGATACTACTTTTACATCTTTTTGTTTATAACATTTTGCTTCGTTTTCTTTTGCAGTATGAAGAAATGTAAAAATTATTATGAAGTCCTTGGGGTGTCAAAGGATGCAGGTGAAGAAGACCTAAAGAAGGCTTATAGAAAACTTGCTTTGAAATTCCACCCAGACAAAAACCATGCACCTGGAGCAACAGAGGCTTTTAAAAGTAAAATACCATTTTTACTTAAAATTTCTTTTATGATTGAAGTTTGTCAGATTAAAAGAAATTCATCTGCATTGGTCACTTGTCTTTTTACAAAAATGTCAATGTGGTGGTTTGTAGCTAATATTAAACTGACATTTTTATCCAAGAAAATATTTGACCTTTATGATTTTAACATATACCTAGAAGTATAGAGAAACAATGTGGAGTTTTGCAGTAGGGTTCGGTTTCAGAGGATTGACTGTAATTTTCAGGTACAGGGAGCGAATAGTTGATCTGTGAAACCCAATTGCACTTTTTTACTGCTGTTGACTTAATGTAGTCAATTGAATCTTACTAGCTTGAATCTTTACTGTACTTGAGCTTGAAAAATACAAAGTAATACTTGATAGCAAAATGCAGTTTTTACTGAATCACGTGCCATGCTAAGGTACCTTTTCCTTAGAAATCCTTGTATGTGTGTAGTTTTACTACTTTTTCCACACGAAAAGACTTGGGTTCAAACATGGCCTTATTAATAGTTGCCTTTGACCATTTCTTAGGTAAAATTTACAGTGTGACTTGACCTGATCTAAAGCTGCCAAGCTTAGCCCTGCACAAGGAAAATTGTTGAGGAAAAGCTTTTTAAAGAAAACTACACCTTCATCTCAGACACAGATGAAGAAAAATGTGAATTTGTAAGAAATGATCATGCATAAATAAACAATCTGATTGTGGTACATCTTTTTTATTTTTTTCATGTGTGAGGTTTACATGCAGACATGTGAAAAAATCAGTCGGATAAAACTCTTAAATTGGGGGAGGGAAAAAAAAGAAAAAAAAGTCCCGAGCAAGACTTCTGATACAGACTTTAAGGAGTAATTATAATAATATATTAACAATTCCAGATGAAAAGTAGATAGAACATAGCAGGAAAGTTGATTGCTAGTGATTATTTTAATACGTCTATGTGACGGCTTTATCTAAAAAAGATATTATTCTTACAAAATTGTCTCTAGCCCTATGAATAAAATAATTCTTCCTTGTTAATAGCATTTTAAATAATCTTTAAAATGTAAAAAATCAGTTTCTTATCTTTTATTTAACATTAGCACTTTGTACAAGTTTGATTTCTTTGGTTTAATTTCACTTTCTGATTCTTAACTAGATGAGTGAATGAACAGAAAATTTTGTAGGGGAATCTTGTTGACTAAAAATTATTTACTGAAATCTAGCATTTTTCTTGCATTGAAATTATAGTAATCCTTTTGTATGGTTGAGTAAATTTATGATTTAGTTTGCCTTTAAAGGTGTCTGATGAGTTTCTAACATCCAGCTGAGAAAAGGAGTTTCATAATAATAGCTATTATTTCATCATAATGCTTTATTTTAAGGAAAGGTCACATTAGAAAACAGAATTGAGTTTGATGTTAGGCAAGGTACTTGCTTAGATCTTGAGCTACCTGGTACTACTCTTCTGTTGTATTAAGCAGTCTCCCTGAGGTTATATTTTAGATTTAAAAGTTTGTGCAAATATAATCACTTTTAATCTCTCAGAATCTCTTTTACCAACTTTGTCAAAAATCTTTCCCTTTAAACTTTTGAGCAGTTTCTTTCATTTTTTATGTCTTTTATTTAAAGAAAATTATATTTGAATCAAATCTGTTGTGAATTAGCATCAAATAATCAAAAGCAAGTAACAAATAGTCAAAAAAGATTGCTGACCGTACCGTGGCAGTGTGGTGTCTTCACTTCACGTGCAGTCACCTGATTTACGTCTCCCTGAATTCTTAATTGTTGGGAAAAATCTAAATTTTTACTACCAATTTTATCCTCATACTGAGTAACAGAGGAACCTTGTAGCAATATTTGGTGTCAGTAGTGTGTATCATGCTCTCAGTGCAAATTACCAGGCTTCATTTCTTTGGGTTTTCTCCTCCACTTAAAGGAATTGCTAATGATTATTTCTAAGGGCATCTTAAAAGGCACGTAGCTAAGACTCATTAACTTTTTTTTAGATTGGATAATGTTGAAAACATTAATTATGCAAAGTCATAGTCTTATTTGCCTGTGTTGAGGTTATAGTGTTGCACCTTTCACAAACTTTTGATGGCTGATGGCTTCTCAACACTGAAAAACATAATCCCCGTGCCTTGCGTTGGTTGTCTGCAAAAGAAGCCTTTTGTTGGAGAGGCCTGGAGGAGAGAGAAGACAGGAAAGCAGAAAGGGTTTAATGAAGATATGACTGAGTGAAGATTGTTCATCGAGTGCCAACAGAAATTTTCCTTCAGTCTGCAAGAGCTGTATGTCTATGCAGAGCAGTTAGGGTCAAAGCTTGTAAAGTCAGCAGAGCTTGTGGTCTTTTCACGCGGATTCTTTCCATGCTCACCTAACTCAGTTTTTCCCTTTCTACTGTCAAAATTGAAGTTGTTCATCTGTGATGATGTCGCGTGAACGGGGACAAGCATCCAGGCCAGGCACTCCAAACGTTGAGGTCGTATTGACAACCTTGGGAACACCGTGTTCCTGTCATGCACGCATGTTGTACTCTTCATGTTACGCCACGCAAAACTTTGTGTTATTAATGTAATCCATAAAATATCTTAAGAAGCATATAAAAAAATACATTCACACTCTTGCAGACAATAAAGTTGATGCATTTGAAGAAGTCACCACTTACTAAATGAAACCAAAGAAAACCTACTGAGTTGATGATGTTTTTTAGCTAGGCTGCTAGAGCAAACTGAACTTTGCAATTACCCCACTTCAAAGCTTTCATTGTAATGCTTGATGCTTTTTTTGTAATTGCAGTGAGAGAGAACATTTCCATGGGTGTAGGTGTTCCCCTACAAAAAGGATCGAAGCTCTCCTGCCTTCTGCCTAGTTCGACAGGATAAAAGGCCTTTGAATAGCGTTGGCGGGAAACTTTGTGGAAGCTATGCTAAGAAAAGTAGAGATGTTTCTGGACCTTGTTGTACTATCGTTGATTTGTAACATACAGTAAAGGACATAGTTCGCTGACTATTCTTGACTTTGAAATTGCAATTTTCATGCTGCAATAGCTCTTATCTTTCATTTATGGGAGTTGTCTTTTATTCCTTGCTTCAGAAATCGGAAATGCATATGCTGTGCTGAGTAATCCAGAAAAACGAAAGCAGTATGACGTCACAGGCAGTGAAGAGCAAACGTGCAATCATCCTAGCAACGGTAGATTCAACTTCCATAGAGGTTGTGAGGCAGATATTACTCCAGAGGATCTATTCAACATGTTTTTTGGAGGGGCCTTTCCAACAGGTATTTGTATATATCAGTATAATCATCGGGATACAGTGGTATTGCCCGGAGTGGCATTAGAGTTTGTGACATTATAAAACAGTAAAATTACTCCAACCTGCCTCGGACCCCAACTCTTTAATCTGCATCACAGTTTATTTTTCCCCTAAGTGTTGCTAAATCCCAAAAATGTGAGTTCAGTTCTTTGGGGTTACTATGGTGATTCTGCGGTACATGAAATAACAAATCAGTTGTCTTAGAGCTTAAAATATTTGTTTTAAACGACTTCAAAATTGTAAGATATTTTAAAGTTGAGTTATTTTATGTGTTGTTGTGCAGTAATCTTAAATGCTTTATGTTGTTGTTTCTGTATTGACCTTTAAATAGGGGTTTTTTACATTATTTAAGTGTGGATATTTCTTTCCTTAGGTAGCGCACATTCATTTTCTAATGGTCGTGCTGGCTACAGCCATCCTAATCAGCACCGTCAGAGTGGACACGAGCGGGAGGAAGAGAGGGGTGATGTATGTTTAAGCATCATTGACTTTAAACTGTGGATTGTGAAATTTGCCAGTAGTCACTTTCAGTGATGTGACTGTACAGGAGCTCTGTACTGTAGAGGAGGATTTGTACTTGCCAGTTACATATTTTAAAACTTTGGCAAGTGGTAGTCTTACTGATTGGTAAATAGACATGCAGATTTGAGAAGATAATAGCCTGGTTTTGTAAATCCATTGTTCTATGTTACTATCTTACTAGTGACTGGTAGTATTAGCCTAAATATGCCACTAATTCTGGTCACTAATCCTTGTCTACATTTAAAAATTTATTTGGGCTGAGGTAAGAATTGTACTTAAGGCTCAATATTCATATATATGAATTATATATAGTCCTGTATAATTACATATCACTGTATAGATGAGACCAAGTCATGGCATACAATGTAACTGAATCCAGCTATTCATTTGGTAATTGCTTGTGGCTACATGCTAACCCATGAACTCATGCAGCTTGAGCACTCTATCAATATTGTGTATGCATTGGAAAGTTACAATAACACCACAATGTTTGCAGGTTTGTAGTTACAGTTTTCCTAGCAGCTTTTGATGCTTAAAGCAGAAAGTCACGCTTAGCATTAAATCTTGTCAAATTTACCTGTTTACTTGATGCTGTTTTATGAAATACCTGAATCTGTTTTGTTCCTTAGGGAGGTTTCTCTATGTTCATTCAGCTGATGCCTATTATCGTGTTGATCCTTGTCTCCTTGTTGAGCCAGTTGATGGTATCTAACCCTCCTTACGCCTTATACCCAAGATCGTAAGTAATGCTTGATTACATTAGCTTAAAACAGAGGGAAGGATGTTGTAATCACCCTCTCCCACTTAGAAGCATTTTAGCGAGCCTTCCGTTAGTTCGTCCTTCATTTCCCACAGTGAGGAAAGGGAGGGAAGGTATAGAGGAAGCAGAACAAAACTTGAAAGTTAGCTACTAAGAACATGCTGTGAGAATGTAATGGAGAAAAGGCGTCAGCAATACCTGGAGTTTAGGGTCTTCTAATACAAGGCAGTGGGTCTATGCAGTGTAACATGTTGCAAAGGTGTTTGCATCTCCAGCATATTTAATCGAATCCTGAAACCTGCTAAGGCTCATTATTCTTTTAGGGGTCATCTGTGCTTGTAGCAAATGAAGTACTTGAAAGCAGCTTTCTCATCCTTATTTAAGTTTTGAACTAGATGAAGGCTGGGGAAATTGTCTGTTCTTCACTTCGTTCTAGGTGATGGTAAAATAGTTTATCTTCGTTTTCTTGCAAAGAATTCTACTAGTGAAGCTTACCTGTTTTGTACAGTAGGATATATAAACTTTTTTTCCTTGAGAGAAATAAATAAATTTAATCAAGCATGCAAGTAGCTAGTAGACTTAGCCCACTCACCACAACTGTTTTAAAGGTCCTTAGTTCCTTGCAGAGCTCTCAGCCCCGCAACAGAAAGGTTTCTTCTGTTTTTCAGAGTCCTTTATTTCTGGATTGTGATGTTTTTCTCTTCTGCAACTAAGCTGTTGTGATGCTTATAAACACTTCTCTGCCAAAATGTTTGTGCACAATCTTTGATTTTTAATCCACAGAATACCAGCAGGAAAATGGATTTGTGAGGGCTGGCAGAAAACACTTTAGAATGGAGATGTCTGTACTGGGTTGCTACAGAATAGTGACCTGTTTTTCTTTTTGTTGAGTTTGAATGCAATTTTCTATTATCAAAGCTTATATTTGACTAAAGAGGTATGAAACAAGTGTCTTACTAAAGTGAGTTTTTTTTCCCAAGATCAAGTGTTTAAGCAGCAGAAGTTTAATGTTCAGGTAAATGTAGTAATTTTATTCTCTGGCAGATTATACAGCCAGTAGTAATTTTATTCTCTGGCAGATTATACAGCCATTCATTTCATTACTTGTCTTGAAACAGCAAACTCAGTGATGTGCTGTTCTTCTGTAATAGCAATATTTTTTATAAGTGTATTTGTGGTGTAAAAAAAAAAAAAATCAAGTAAATATCTAGTCTCTCTCTCCCCCCTCCCTCCTTTTTTGCAGAAGTACAGGGCAGACCATAAAAATGCAGACAGAAAACTTGCATGTCATTTATTATGTCAACAAGGACTTTAGAAATGAATACAAAGGAGTGTCATTACAGAAAGTGGAAAAGAGTGTGGAAGAGGATTATGTGTCCAACATTCGTAATAACTGTTGGAAGGAGAGGCAACAAAGTAAGTTTGGTAATATGTGTCATTTCGTGAAAGCATTAGCGTGAAAAAAGATTGCCTCAGGCAAGAATGAAGGGCTTGTATTATTAAAATACCTGAATGAGAAAGCAAGTGTAAGGTTCCCTACTGTTTCTCACTTCTAAAAGTGTCCCCAGTGTCACTTAATTTCTGTGTTTTACTCGGTGACCTAACAACCATCTGCAAATCATCAGTAATTTTAACCTGCTACTCTATTATCTGTGACCACTTCTCAGAAAATTAAAGACTACGGTGAATTGACAGTGAGAAAGAAATTGCTCTAAGTTAAGGATGAAAGCTAAGAATTCTAATCTCTTCCACATTATTTTATCATGGCAATACCTCATTTCCCTAGGTGCTTTTATATAAATAAAGAAATAAAACAAAAGCTTACGTAGGTGTTTCTGGAGAAGGAAAAAAATAATCTGCCTTGGACCACAGTACATATAAACACTGCTTTTCCAGGCGACCAAGGACACACAGCATGTCCTGTAAAACATCAGCTGTAAATCAGTGCTTAATCTTTCACCAATGCTGAATAATTTTTCTCCCTGTACACGGTACCTTGGCTATATCAGACCTTAAAAACAGGGGGTTATTTTAGTTTACCATCTATTTTTCCAATCTAATATTATACAAGGAGTTATTTTCTTTCAGAATCCTAGAATTCAGTGTTAAAGCGTAAGAATGCTGAATAGCATCGGCCATCTCCAAATCATCATCAATTATAACCTCTTATTCTATTATCTGTGACCATTTCGTGAGCCTTTCATGCTCTGTGAGAACAGCGCTGCTAAAATGACATCAGTGTTGAAACCAGATGGTTTCAACTTTTCGTCTGGTAAACTTCAGTAATGGCTTACTGGATAAATAATTTGTTCATGAACTGTCAGTAAACTGACCAGAAGCAAACAGAATGCTCTCCTCTGAGTGAAATCCTGTGTTCCTGCACAACTTTACCTTCTGCAGTCCAGTGATGCCAAGCCTTTCAGGTGGCCCCTTAGCTTCTCCCAGTTGTAAAAGGCAGCCCGGCATCACAGCTAGTCAAACGCCTGAATAGGACTGCACGCATTCATTAGCTGGCCTGTAGATACACAAATACAAACTGCACGGCCCATGCATAGCAGGCCCAGTGCTTCCTGGAGGCTTTGTGCTTCTTACTCCTGAGTACACATTGCTTATGTGTAAGTAAATCTCTACAGTTTTACAAATTGCCCACAGGAAAGAACTGTGGGCAGAAAACTGTGCTGATGGGTCGCATGTATGCAAGAGAAACACCAGTACTTTGGGGGCAAGCTTTCAGATTATTGCCCGGAGTACTAGATTTGATCAGAATGATTTTTCCCAGATTTTTCAAATAGAGGAAAGCATCAGAGAATTTTTGGGTATAATTCATAAGCAAATGTAAAAAACTCTTGTATTTTTCCAGCTAGGTTGTCCTTTGATCATCCTGAAATGTTTGAATATGTTCACTCTTCATGAAATGAATACCTAATTTTTCATCTACAAGTGGTTGCTAGATGAACGATTGGTAATCTTATAGTAAAATAGTTTACAAAAACGATCGTGGTTGCTAACAAAAAATTAAAGACAAGATATAATCCAGCACAATAAAAAGAGGACATATTATTTGTACATTTTTTCAGCGGAGTGTAGATCTGGAAGGATAGTTTGCTTTTATTGACCTAGTCATTACACTTAGATTTACTGGCATGTTGTATTTGTGTCTCCTGTAATATATTTACTGTCTAAATATCTTTGAAAAGGTTTAGTTGATAGGCAGTTTCCACCTGGGGAGGGAAAGAGGAGAAAGAATACCTTTCCCATGTTTCAGCATTTGTTCTTGACATGCTTACTTCTTTAAGCATGAACAGAGTCCTGGACAATGCGAAAGAGGCCCACAATTCCGTATGTACATATTTACTGGGAAAAATGCAATGACTAGAGAAGCATCTGACCCTAGTATAAAGAAGAAAAATAACCTGAAGGTGGTGACTGTCATGTTGTTTGCTATTAGCAATTTATCAGGTTGTGAAAACTACCCAGATTGATTTTGAGAAAGCGGCCCGTAATAGATTTTCTCTATTTATAGAAACAGCTGATTTTGTGGTTTTAAGGATTCAGAATACCTGTTGTGTGTTGGATCTCCGTGACAGTTAAAGTCTTTCCAGCGTTGATTGACATCTAAGAATGCCTTGCTAATCCACTTCGAGTGGAAGGGCTGAAAAAGATTTTATAGAATTAAAATGCTCAGCAATGTCAAGCTATTGAACACCAGTGTAATACAGAGCGCTCTTTTATTAATACCTCCGAACACTGGCAGTCTGAAGCAGCATCAGTTGAAGTAATGGGCTTAACATTCAGAATGGATTTTTGGGTACAGACGAGATGCTAGAGCTGTCAGTAATATGCAAGATCACTGAGTGTGGCCTATATTTGTATTGTTTAATGAGGTCTGACAGAAGTAGTAGGGGTTTGTTTGTTTTAATCAGGTACTGCTGTACGAAATACGAGGGTGCTGGAAGGCTGTTACCGCTTTCCCTGCTCAAAAAGATGAAAAGCTTGTCAAGATCCAGCAAAGGGAAGCTGTAGCAGTGCTGTTTAGGTGGTGTCTGTGGGTAGTTAGAATAGACAGAAGGAAAAAAGGGTGAGGATTACACCTGAGGTGTTTTGGACAGCTCTGAGAAGGAATGTATCATGTGCGAAGTATTCAGTTCTTAACCTGAAAAATCTTTCCTCTTTTTTTCATTAAAGAAACAGACTTAATTTATGCAGCAAAAGTATATCGAGACGACCGTCTCCAAAAGAAAGCAGACTCCATGTCCATGGACAACTGCAAAGAACTAGAACGGCTGACCAGCCTCTATCGAGGAGGATGAACTACAATTATACGCGTACATCTTTACGTATGCCGTTGTCTCTTGTAAATTAAGAAGAGATTTAGTTTCACCATGAATGCTGGAAAAGAGGGGTGGATGTAAAACTCTACTGTGTAGCTGTTTCCAGAAACCTTACACTGAAATATCATTTAATGGCTTCTTTACCTACTGTGAAATATAGGTAACTTTAATTGTCTAGATTTTCCTTCCAAGCTTCTGTGAATTCTTTCAGCAGAGAGAATAGCTCAGAAAGGATGCTATACTTGTAGAGACTTAGTCATAGTGGTTCTCCTCTAACATATTTGCCATGTAAATATCTGTGGAAAGAACACTTTGTGTATATACGAGTTAAATGACTTTCTATTTAAAATCTCAGAAATTTAGTCCCATACAACATTTTGTCTCACTGATGGAATAAATAGTATGATTACATCACTCCTATTCAGATGTCAAGTGTGTGGAGTTGAAACAAGAATTTTTAATATTTTATCTCTAACTCTATGTAAAATCTTCTAGGTTTACCAGCTTAGAGGAACTTGGTATTTTTAAATATAATGGCATATATTCCTAAATATCTGTTGGGGTATATTGATCTGGTGTAGAGTAGCCATTAGCTGTTGTAGTTTTTTAAGGTTTCTAAGCAATGCTGAGAAAACTAAGAACTACACTAATCTCTCTTCACAGTAAATATTTGCAAATCCTGTACAGACCATTATAAGCATTGCTTTTAGTCCTTGCAACAGTTTACAGCAGCTCTACCGTTTGGTATTCCAGTAGTAGTAAGTCCGTATGTATGGTTAACATGCATCCATAGCTTCCTTAATTTTCACTGGAAAGGTAGAGGAAAACACGCAATAGTAAAATCTTAAAGCTCAAAAAAGGAAAGAAAAAAGGCAACCTATTTTTTTTTTCCTGGGAGGCTTCCATTTTCTTACTATTTTTTTAATTTCAAGCTAGGTCCCAACACTGATTCCTCAATAGGCACCAAGAGTGGAACAGGGAAGTATTGCTAAGGACAAGCTATGTGCCTTTCAACGCTTTTGCCAGCTATTTAAATGCTTTGCTAGTTTGCAGTACGCTCCTATGGTCAGAGCTGTATCCCTTGTCCCGGGGCGGAAGAGGAAGGGCGTGCGTTTCTCTGGACCAGAACGTTGCTGGACTGACTTCCTCGAAATGAGCAGACGTACTGTTGGGCTCCTACGTACAAGATCATGTAACTCAGTGGCCTGTACCTGGAAACTGTATGTAGCCACACCTGCTGATGCAGAGAGGCGTTTTGAAGCAGCTAAGTGCAATGTACTTGAAGTTTATCGAGAGTGGGTTGAAAATGTTTTTAGGTTCAGTAGCTGATGTTTTTACATTTTAACAGTGCTATGCAGGAGAATGTTTCTTGCATGTGAGAATGCCAGGTGGCTCATAATGAGGGCAGTATTTTTTGTTTGAGAAAACTGCTATCTTTGAACAACGCTATTGGTTTATGTGGAGCCAAATTCTCCTCCTAAACTCAAAGTTTAAATACTTGACTGACTTCATTGGAATTCCTTCTGATCTAGAGCAGGATTTGACTTTAGAAATACGCTAAATGCTATTGCTCTAAGTGACCCAGAAATCATTTTGCATATATACCTTTTCTAAACTGTCCCACTGGAAATGTCCTCTACTGAATTGGTGTAACATGAGAGAGCGTAGCTGCAGGCTTCTAACTGACCGGCTAAACCAGCATTCAAGGTGGACATCAAAGCCTGAGGCACAAAGCAGAACTAAAAGCTGCTGAAACAAAAAAGAAAAGGGGTTGCTGTACTGGATGTCCTTACTAGTATTATAGGAAAAGTGTGCGGAAGTAATGGGAAAGGCACCCAAACATTTGCAATAGAAATTTATGGAGAAAACGTGATTCCCTGGATTTTGTAACTGTCCAGAATGTATTGTAATTATACTAATGAAAACAAACTATCAACGTACATATTGGTACTCCTGTGTCTTCTTAATAGAAGAAAATCGTTCCAAAGGCTTTAACAAGTACTCGGGCCTTCCCATTCACAAATGAGTCCGAGCTTGCAGGTGATCTTTTAGTTAAGAGGAAAAAGGATATAGAACGCATTTCTCGAGTACGAGAACAGTGAAGTCAGAGTGAAGAGATGGTCTTAGCAAAGCTGCTTGTAATAATCGGGTGGGTTATGTCTGCCCTGCAGTTACTTCTGCTGCAGCTGAGAAGCAGGTAAACGGACGGATGTGGAGCTGTGTTAGGTTGGTTAGATTGCGATCAGTATCTCAGCAAACTGGAGTAAGGCAGTGGCTGTGTCCTGTGGCAACGCAGGTGTCCCAGCGGTTTAAGTGAGACCTAGGCTGCTACATTTCGTTGGATTACCTATTGCGATGGCCGTTGTCAAAGGAGGAAACGATTCATGTGTTTATACCGGTGGAAAGATGCTGCTTAGCGTTTAACAGATTAAATAGTTGCACACTTTGAAATATGCAGTAGAATGCAGAAGGATGCTATTATTTCCTGTAGCGTAAAGATTAACCCGCTTCGAATATGGCCTGCAAACATTCTTTTCATATTCCAAGTGGGTGTTTCTCTCCTCGTGGTTGTTACTTTTTTCTCAAGTCTGAAGGTTTTTTCTTCAGAAATACTATTATCTTCCCTGGTTTTGTTGAAGGAATCTGCTGGAAAGTTCAGAACGAATTTTCTTATGAGCAAGATGCTAATTGAAGAGGGCGGAGTACTTGAACCTTTTCAGACGACCTTTCTTCAGAAGGTGAAGTTCTCGTTAAAATAAGATATTGGAAAGAAAAGGGAAAAACAAAACTGGTTTTGAACAGCCCGACTGAAAATCCCTCAACTTTTGTAGCTACCTAGAATTAACCCCTTACTCTTTTTAGTTAGTCATTACCTGCACTTAATCTAGAATTAAAGATAGCACAAGCGTGGGTTCTTGATTTCTCCTTTAAAAGAGCAAGCAGGGAAGTCCTGCGAAAAGTGAAAAATCTTGGCATGACACTTTGACATAGCATAATGAAAAAGGGAGATGATTGGCATCCGCTGAAATACAACATCAGTTTGTGTTCTATTTATGGAGCATCCCGAGTCACAAGCAAGTTCGGTGTTCGCATCTGATGAACGTTTCCCTACACGTTCTCTAACTGTTTAGGTAAAACAAGATTAAATTTGAATTTTTGACTTTTTTTAAACAGTCTTGATTCTTTCACAAGTTTCCAAGAAAAGGCAGAACGTTATAGTCGCTAAAATGTAACAGATGCATTTAAATAGGCAGCGGAGACAACTTTAAGTTATATGCATTTTTAATATAACTTTGTAACGAATGCTGTAAAAGGATTAAAACGGGAGGGCAAGAATATGTTTGTTAAGGTTGTTTGTTCCATAAATGTCATTCATCCCCAAAACAGTTGTTATTCTTTCTTCTTGTAGATCTGTCAAAGAGAGCAGAAGGAAAATCTAATAGTGAAAGCAAACATTTTGTTTTAAAAAAGTCGGTTAATACACAAATTCCTGAAGCTCTAACTTTAAAAAGTACTAGCTTCCCGGTTGTCTAAATCTGGTTAATCCGGTGCAGTCAGTTTCACCAGAGGAAGCTCGGTCGTAACGATTCACGGCGACTGGCAGTCAGAAGCCCTGGTGCCGTATCCCCCATCTCCTAACAGTTTCCTATAGCCTCACAAGCGCCACTGATCTCTCTGCGTTGCTTCCCCCGTGCTCCTTTGCAAACCGCTGTGTAGAGCCTGGAGGAAAAGTACCACCTAACAAGTGTAAAGTTTTGTGCCGCGTCTGGCACATGATCGAGATACTTTTGGGAGCAGACAGGACAAATGAAATAAATACAGGAAAGAAATACGCCCCTATAAACCCTCCTCCCATACCTCTCTTCTCCAGGATAATTGTGAGACTTTTCAGTCCGGCAGGAACTAGGTCTGAGCGTCGGATTTCTCCAGGTTTTTAGAAATAATACTAAAATACAATGTTTAGTTACGATGTTATCCTTCATGCAGAATATACTTTTCCCATCAGTACGGGTTTGCTCGGTGTATAGAAAGGCTGTCATTGGAACCGGACACAAAATTCCCATTAATATTAGCAATGCAGGAGCCATCTCGTAGATACTTTTGCGTAGCTTTCAGTCATGCTCGCTGTGGCAGGGAAACAAGTAAAATCCATCACTGAGCATCACGCCTACGAGTTTTGAAAAGCCAGTTGCGTTTTTAAACATTTTTAGTGTACGGTAGGGAATATTTTAATAAATGAGCGGACCGAGGTTGTTCCAGGTAGCAATTTTCAAAACGCTACCAGAAGCTCACACGTAAGAATTTTATGGGGATCTCTTTAGGTATCTCTCTAGTATGACCGAGTCCTTATCAAATGGCTGCGTCTGCACGGCTTGGATGGAGAAGGAGGTACGGACTCTCAATATTCAAATAAATCTGCCCTTCTGGATGAGCTCTCCCTCTGTCGATTGCAAAAAAGTTGCTTATCTCTGGTTGTGTCGGGCTTTTTCAAAACTTCGCCAGACCTATACATCCAGAAATATTAGCAATTTTAAGGTCAGCATTTTTTTTGTTTTGTTTTGTATTTAGGCTCCAGTATGGGCATCTAAGCAAAATCTTCAGGTATCAGCAGTGCTTAGCATCTAGCACTTTCAGAGAAAAAGCACTGTTACAGGCTGAGCGGGTTTGTTTTTAAAATCTACCACTGCGGTCCTAGATTCTGATGCAACAAGACTTTAGAAGTAGATGCAGTTACCACTGTTACGCTGTGGGCATCTACGGGGTGAATCCGTTTTATTTCTTTGCCTTAGCTGTTAAATTATGAGCCTGCAGGTCCGCGGCACCATGGCCTAGATCCGAAAGTACGGGAAGTGAGCGTCGCCGGAGGAGGGAAACTGGGCGCAACTGCACGCGGCAGAAATGGGCGTTTTCTCTTCTTTTTGTTGTTCCTTTATCTTAAATTCTGTGGGGGTGTTTTTTTCTCCAAGATTGTGCTGCCGTTGCCAGTGGTGCCCAAAACCGAATCGGCCAAAACCTCACCCGTCAGAGGGGGAAGCTCGGGGGGCTCGTGCGGCTGCCGCGCGGGGCCGCCGG